AGTTTGCAATATAAAAATGAAATGCAGGACAAAAGGTCCACTTATTACGTAACTGTCCACAGCTGTGCTCTTCTATAAGCAGTCGCCCTTTGTTAATTACAGGAAATTAAACCGGTTTAACCATGATGACACTAATACAGATTTACTTTCTCTCAGAATGGTTTGCCGGCAAGGGAGAACAGCATGGTTCTGCGTTACATCCCAGACCCGACAGAACGGTTCCACGAGGGAGACTTCCAGCCCGCTCCAGGTTGGAATGGTCAGTTTCTTAAAATTAAATGCTGAATGAGGACCAAAAAGAAATAAAAAAGACACTTTTTCGTTTATGGTGAAATGAGCACCTCTGTTGGTCAGTCTTGGTCTTACATTCTTGTGGTATACTCTGATTTTGTACTCTTAAAGGAACAGTACACCCAAAAAAAAACAGTAGGATGCACAAAAGGATATATTTTGCAGAATATTCACACTGCTTTTTTCCTATAGAATTAAATTGTGCTTTAGGAACAGCCTGAAATTTAAGTCTCTTTTCAATAAAATGACCTCCCAGTATAGCTTTCAAATCTCAGCGTATTCAAAATTTTCCATTGTAAACAGTTACGTAGCAAACGTTTTTTTTTACATATCTCCTTTTTTTCATGGAAGAAAGGAAGTCATACAGGTTTATATGGAGCCTCTACAGTGACATGGTGATGGAAAAATATGAGATGGGATTTTATTGTCTAGGAAACTTTGCATTTGTTCCGAAAAAGTTTTGCATTCCTCCGAGAAACTCCGCATTAATTCGTAAAAGTTTTACGCTTGCCCGCGAAACTTTGAGTTAAATTCTTCAAAGCTTTGCATTCCCCGAAAGACATTGCATTCATTCGTAAAAGTTTTGCGCTCCCCCAAGATACTTTGCATTTATTAAAGCTGCAGTCCGGCATTTTTCCTCTTTGTCGCCATCTCTGTTCGAAATCTGCAATTGCAGTCATTCGCGGAATTATCAACTTTACGTGGGTTGTAGTTCAACACCCTCGACACGGCACAGCGCGGATGAACACATTGAGGAGAGTGTGCAGCTGTCAGTCACCGCGCCGATGTGGATATTGTCATTCAGAATCACAGATTATTCTTTTTGGAAGTATGACCAACATAAGAATTTTCACCGGGAAATGTCATCTGAACTAGTAAGAAACATCCACTTTAGTTCTGGTTCTGACATTGCAGTAAATCGCGCTGATTAAATCTAACAATTGCTTATAAGTTATCATTTCACGCAAAACCGTGCAAAGTAGCTATACTATGTTCTCTAATTGTTAATGTTAACAACGTCAGCAAGCATTGCGTGACTACATCATGTAATGTCCTTCCGATATTATCCTTGTTTTCGCATGGGCCGGTTGCAGTCTCTTTTTTTCTGTAGCCACTCCGAAGTCCGAACGAAGTCTTTCGCATTTTACAGCGGGTGAGTCTCTAGTTGTCACTGATGATGATCGTCGTTTGAACCTTTCTGGATCCGCCATCAAATTGATAAGTTTAATTATATCAAGTGCTGTGAGAAAAGGCTATAAATCTCTACCTCCAACATCCTCACACGCAATATAGCTTATACTAGCCGAGACTCTTCTTTATGTGTACAGATGTGACGTAATGACGCAAAGACATGCTTGAATCTCCCGCGGAAATCCACCAGTACCACTAAAATTAAAAACATTATTACAAGCTTACCGTTTTGCATCGAGCTAAGGCAAGCAGATAGTTTTGAACACTGGCTGGTTATGGATTTTATCAAATATGTATTTTGGATAATTTTTAACCCAAAAAAAGCTACGGACAGCAGCTTTAACAAAAGTTACATAAACATTTTGCACGAGAAAATGCAAAAAGCCTCGGAAAACAATCCCCCCCCTCATATTCTTTCCCATCACCATGTCCCTAAAGGGGCTCCATAGGTTTGGGACATCATGGGGGGTAAGCATTGTTTTAATAGATGCTAATACCCTTAAGGTATTTTGTTTGTAGATGCACATTTACATCTTAATGAACTAAATAATTGACAGAAAAAATTGTTATTTAACCCATGTTGTCCTCTTTCCCAGAATACATAAACCAGAAAGACTCACTGATGTCCAACATGAACAACCCAATTTACCAACACCCAGGACCCCCCCGAACGCTTCCGCACTCTTCATCAGCGCTGGACGAAACTGAGGAAGAGTACCTCAACTGCTTTAAAAGCCCTGCCGCCGCCCCACCTGAGTATCTGAACACGTCCCACACGCAGCTCCTCTCAAGCCAGCCCTTCTTCAGCATGCGGGGCTTCAACCCCCAGAACAGCATAAACAACCCAGACTACCAGCAGGACTTCTGCCCCCTGGAGCTCAAAACACACACCAACGGCCACTTGCCGGCTGCGGAGAACGCAGAATACATGGGGCTGGAAGTGCACTAGCACATTCTGGAGAAGGGCATCTGTTCAAATGAGGCACTTTTCGGTAGGTAAAAGATGGAAGGACATCTATTTATAGTGGATATACACAGTCAAACATATCGCTGAGTCAAGGACTGTTCGTAACCTTGAAAAGCTACCTTTCAAATGCGCTTGTTTGGTTCTGAGCTGGACTTGATCGACCGTGGCTCTCTCCAAATCTCACAAGAGACTATGAACGACAACAGGACTTGAATCTGTGGATGCCAGTAGAAACATGCTGGTGTGCTGAAACGGCATGTCACGGAACAAGCTTGTCGACACACATGCTAAAACTGCTTTTAAGTGATCTGGTTTCAGTCTAGTCGATAATGTTTTTAATGAGCAAACAAATTACTGGGCTCAAAAGTGTCTGTAATCATAAAACTTGGCAGTGGCCCCAGAAAGTGTTTGGACACTTAAGTCACATTTACAAATGTCTGGATTTCATTGCATTATAGATACAAAATACCAAACCAAGCAAACACAAACTGAACATGAACTAAGTTCGACCACCAGAGAGTATCTAATACACACACACTATTGTTCAAAGGTTTGGGGTCAGTAAGATTTTCTATAAAACAAATGCATTTTTCAAATTAAAAATGATAAGAATCTTACATTGTTACTAACCATTTGTTTCAGATAATTGCTGTTCTTTTGAACTTTCTATTCATCAGAAACCTGAAAAGAATGCAGAATATATATATATATGTATATATATAGCTGCACAACTGTTTTAACATTGATAATAATAATAAGAAATATTTATTGTGCAGCAAATCAGCATATTAGAATGATTTCTGAAGGATCATGTGACACTGAAGACTGATGCTGAAAATTCAGCTTTTATCACATGAATAAACTACAGTCTAAAATATATACAGATAGAAAACAGTACATTTAAAATTGCAATACTACTTCACAATATTGATGTTTTTACTGTATTTTGAAATAAATGCAGACTTCTTTTAAAAACATTTTAAAAATCTTACCGGCCCCAAACCTACTCCTTTACATTGTAAAAACCTAATAAACTCAATTGAAATGTGTATTATTTTGCGATATATTTATTTAAATGTTTTTTGATATTATGCTGTACAGGCTAATGCATCATTTTTTTTTTAATCGTGACTCTAGTGTGCAGATGCTTTCTGTTGGACACTGTACGTAAGCTGAACTCAGAGGCGGTTTAATGCCTCTCTGCTGTGAATGAAAGTCAAAATAGAGTTAAATTCAAGATTTAACTGTTATGTTTTGCTGGAAATGTTGGCTGTGTGGACAGGGCTACGACGATGATCTGTGTATGGACAGAATCAGCCTCGTCCGAAGGCCAACATATGACTGGTACATGTACAGAACTGTAATATAAGGCTGACATTTGCATTATTGTATCTAATAGAGTATTTTATCCATTGTCATAAAAAACACTCATATGGGGTCACTCATATATTCCATTTCTGTTTGTTCGTCCATGTGTTTTCACCCTCCTGTACCTCGCTTGACTTTATATTAACTAATTGAATCGCATATCTCACAGTCAGAACATATCATGATCTTTATGACGTTGCACAAATCAAAGAAATGTGGTTGGATATCTTAAACTCACTGTCCTTTTAGCTTTGATCATTCTTTTGAAAACATTCGCATTTGCTCTCAAAATATGGTGACAAAGTCCTTTCTCCTTTTTTACTTGCCATGTAATCAGGGCTAATTCAATCAAAGCTGTTTTAATCATTCATTCTAATCATTTATAAGGTAATGCTTGAACTAAGCAGAGACAGTATGCAAATCACCTGCTTTTATGATCACAAATGTGTCAAGTTAAATGGTTTAGTCACCAATTCTGTCATCATTTACTCGCCCTCAAGTTGTTCCAAACATGCTGGACACAAAAGAAGATATTTTGAAGAATGTCAGTAACCAAACAGTTGACGCCGGTAGCAATTGATTTCCATAGTATGGGGGGGAAATACTATGAAAGTAGGCTAAATAAGGCCAATCAACTGTTCAAAATATAATATTTTGTGTTCAGCAGAAGAAAGAAATACATACAGGTTTGGAGCACAATGACTGAATGTTCATTTTTGGGTGAAGTGTCCCTTTAAGAGAACACATTTTGTTGCGGCTTTGGAGTTGAAAGAAGCAAGTTCATCATGACCGTTTGACTGAGAAATAAATAAATAAAAAATAAAAGTAGGCCTAACCTCAGAAAGCAAAGCACAATTTATTATGATACCTAAAAGAGCAAGAAAAAAGAATGTAAAGTCAGCTAGCAAGTTACTTCAGTTATTAAAGTTGTAATTTAATGGTCAACTTCTATTTGTCGCCGGTCGGCTCATGAATATTAATATAGTCAAGCTCACGCGTTCAGTCGTAATCACTTAATGTTTACCTTTCAGCCAATCAACTTGACTAGAGTCACGTAATAATGAATATTCATGAGTCACGTCGTCATCACAACATGAACACGCCCAGCCTTTGTGCTGTGTTACACACTCTCGGCCGGCAGGGGGCAGCAACACTAAACCCCGCGCGCGCGCGCACACACACTCAGACGATAACAGGAAGGAAATAAGAAAGCTTGAGCTTCACCCCAACAGATGAGAGTTACTCTAGACAAGAGCTCTGGAGTCAGAGGAGCAATGACTCTGCCGGGGGGAAAACAGATTTTCTGTCTTTTATGGGCCATCATTTTATTATCACAGTGGGTAAGTGTGACGACGCGCTGTTTGTTTATGTTATTGTGGCTGTAACTTGTGTACGTGTTTGTAGCCTAGCACAAACTTCAACTAGCCAGACAGTTTCCAAGAGTTGGCAAAGCACGTCTGGTCAAATCCCAGAAAGAAATGATGTGTATTGTTGGAAGTCAAAAGCCCTGGTTTTACTAGTAGGAAATGTATTTGTGTCGTTGGAAGAACGAAACGGCCTCTTTTCATCTAGCTAGTTTAACTCCAATCGAAGCTTATGGACAGAGGAAATATGATTTGTCTAACCTTACATCATAAGAATCATCTGTCAGTCCTTTCAGATTTACACAAGAGCACATGATGATCTATCCTGCAAGATCAGCGTTTAGTTGACTAGAAACGCAGTTATGGTGTTTTTAAAGGAAGGGAAGAGAGCTGTTAAGCTGATTGATTGTCCCAACCTAGTGAGCCACATGTGTAGGCAGCATTGGCCTTGAGGATTTACTATATATAACGTTATCCTGTGATACACGAAAATGCTGTCCAGGTGGGAAACTTGGCTCACTAGGTTTTGAGATACAACCACTCTTTCACGTTGACTAGAAATAGATGCAGAAAGGGGATTACCTCTCTAAGTCCCAAGTTCAAGTGCGCTTGCTTTCATTTAGCTTTCCCTTCAAAGAAACATGGGCATTTTCATTTCATGTGTGTTTGTTGGGATGTAGTCGAAAACAACGGTCTAATCTCGTGTAGGTTCAGAGGTCGCATTCTCTAGCATGTGCGGCCAGTGTTTGTTTGGCACAATTCATGTTTCACACCAAATCTGAAACATTTAAATCAACTTTCAAGAGTTTTTTTCTTTTTTTTTTTCTTATATCGGATTTTTTTGACTCATGCTAGTGACAGTGAGTCAGAATATAACTTCTCCGTTAGTAACCTGAGACAAACATCACGAGTGTTTGGTAACCAAGTGATCCTAGTTGAGCTCATTTGTTTGTCCCATTTCCTAATTCTAATTTTAGGATTTCAATGGTAGGAACACTATCTATATCAAAGCGGGCTCTGAGTATTGATTTTAATTCAAATATTTGTTTACTAAACCGATCATATTCATTAATATTCATGTAGAATACACAAACCTCACATTAGTGTAATTGTCTAGATTGGCAATATGTTCAGTCTGCCGTGTATTAAACCATATTGCTATTGTTAATAATAACAGCACATTAATCTATCAATGTGCCACTTCTAAAATTCAAAGTGAAATTAAAACCCAGGCTATGATTTGTTATCATACCTTTTCTCTTGGTTAAACTAATCTTTCTTTGTATTAACTCATTTTTTTTAGTTTAAAAGAACGCAAAATTCGAAGGCAACCAGGTTAAAGGTGAATTAAGTAACTTTTTTACCTTAACCGAACAGCTTTGGAGTCATTGTAATGTTTATATTACTGATATCGTGTTGAATGTAGAGGTCTGCACGGGCTTTAAACTGAAGCCCGAACCCGGCCCGTACCCGCGATCATTTAACCCGACCCGACCCGACAATTACATTTACATATTAAGCCCGAACCCGACCCGAACCCGAGGTCCATTCTGTTTCTCACAGCAATACCATTTTTGCAATATGCTATGTTGTATTTAATGATTGCTTGACTGACATATTAAACAAATACATGTAGGCGCAGCGGCCCTATCAGCAGGCAGCACAGCAGTAAGAGAAAAAACTTACCAAGTAATTTTTTGCTTTATCAGACTCATGGTTTGCTTGTTGTCGTCGGCTGTCTGTATTGTTACTGAAATAGGGCGCGAGAGCGGTAGCACATGCGCAAAACAGTTTTGTGATATAAATGATATGATAAAATAAAACAAATAATTAAAAAAATTATATTTATATATCATTATATTTGAGAGAGAGAAAATCGCGCACATATTGCACATCTGCGCACGTAGCCTATACTTTCTCTCTCTCGCGTGCCGGTCACCACAACACAGCAAGCAGGCAAAGCACACGGCACGCAAACTATATATAGCCTATTTAGTTTTTCTTAGTTAAACCCGAACCCGACCCGAACCCGAGGCTGTTCATTAACATTAACCCGAACCCGACCCGAAACCCGCACATTTTTCGGGACCCGTCGGGCTCGGGTCGGGTAGCAGACCTCTAGTTGAATGGTGGTCGTCTCGCACCCCCCTGGTGCCTGTGAGCCGCAAAACCACCCTTGCAACTTTGGGCCGGCGAGCAGATATAAACAGAAATAACCCGGCGCCGTATACATGTGGTGTTGGGCGCGCGCAGCTCTTAAAGGGGCCATACCTTATTTCCACTCATTACAGCGTCCATCCTACTGAACAGGTACCGGTGTACAGGGGGAGGGGATCCGGCCGTGAGTGCGAGCCATCTCTGCGTGAGTGCTATTCACGACAGTACAAGTACTCCACAGCGACTCTAGGGGTCGCTGTTTGACAAAAACGGAATTCCTACTTAGTGCTGCTTTAATGCTACTTGCATTTTTGTGTTAAACCTACAAATCATTTTTACAATCTTTAATCATTTCTCTAACATGAATTCATGCAATCTAATGCTAGTGCATAATCCGTTTCAAATTAAAATGACATTTTCTAAAGGATGTCTTCATGTGTGTGAACTGAAGCGCTCTATTTTCGTTAAAGTTTACACCGGTAACAAGAAAACACCTGTAGTCGTGTGATGAGGGATGAACGCAGTGAAAACCTTTTACACTGAATGAGAAACCGCTGTGCATTTCTCTCGCATCACATTGTGTAAACTGCATTTATGACAAAGAACTGCACCGATATCATAATCAATAAATGCACACACATTATCCTCTGCTTCTGATGCCGCTGCTGCGGATTGAACAACACGCTGACGAAAAGTTTTCATATGAGTTTTAATGGAGACTCATGAATTCGTGTACAGATTACGCAGCTAATCTCACACTTTTCGGGGGGCTAGGTGGAAATTTAGGGGCCTAGTGACGGCCTTGTTTCCTTCTGTCTAAATATCAAATAATAACATCTACTTTCTAGTTGTTTCTCAGTTTGTAAAGCTTTAAGGCCTACAGTTTGTGTAACTACTTCATTCTGACACTTTCACTTCTTGTCTAAAAATATCCTTGGTCTGTCTAAATAATACTGAAAGACCTGTGCTAAAATAAGCAGTGGACCAAGAAAAAAAAAAACTCCACTCAAACCTCGGACAGAAACACACGTTTACTGTACACAACACTGCGAATTCAACAAAGTTCAAGTTAGGCTATCAAGGAATCATTTTGTATTCATCTGTCTGTGCAACATGTACTAAAATTTTCTTACAAAATGTCAATGTCATTTATTATCTAGTTTGAATTAATGAAAGATTGGATAGTACAGCATAGTTTCAAATTGATTTTAAGCTCATATTTTCAGCGTTGTAGTCGAGACCAGCTTACTCGTGTCGGAGTCCATGACAAGACCATAAATATATTGTCTCGGCATACCCCCCTTGAGAAAAAAAAGACAAGCATTCCCTATGTAAACCCAGCATCCCCCTTACCATCCCGGTTAGTTGAACAGTGCTGTGTATTATGTAAAACTTAAGCGAATTAAATATTGAAATTATCTACTGATAATTAATGAATTATAAATATCAGCAATTAACCAATCAGACCTCAATATTGTGACGCGCCCCGCAGGCTTTCGTCATTTTCCGCGCTGTTAAAGATGACCAAAAACAATCTGTGTGTAAGAGATCTGTGTGGACATGCAATACTACAGTCACATTATTTGATGAATAATGGCAATGTAGATTTGTATTATACTCTAATTTAATTTTTATATTTAAAAAATATCATAATTTAATTTAAATACAAATGTTTTCAAAATTAGACCTGTCCCCCCATCACAACCATATTTGCATAAAACATGTCTTAAATGTAGCCATTTCTAAACATCCCAAACGTTTTCAAAAAAAAAAAAAAATTGTGGATGGAATTGACATTTGCTGACATTATCATATTTTTAATCAATTTCAGCCACATTAAAAGTAAACATGTAATGTAATTTTAATAGCAAAAATGTGCTTTTATTTCACATTATATCAACAGTATTCACTAAAATATTCGAAAATAGAACCTATTGTTGGTGACAAAAGCACTTTTGCCAAACTAGGTTACTTTTTTTCAATACCATTCATTTCAAAATGGCTAATTGTCATGTGACCAATCAGCCTGATATATAGTGGTCTATTGCCACTTGTTTGTTCATGCACTCTTCTAAATGAAGTTTATTAGTGACCTGGAGGTATTAGGAATTGTGAACAATAGAATACTTGGGCTTGTCTGTCATTTTGGCTGTTATGACGCTTTTTTTTTTTTAGTCGTATGACTAAGAAGAACAGCGAGGGAAGATCCAGTTCAGTCTGTTATGTCTCTGATAGTATCATCAGTTGCATAAACGTATCCACTATATTAAGCCGTTTGACCGACTAACAGTTGAATAATCTATCTTTTTATGTAACTGGCTTTAAAAAGTTTGGACCAGTTTTGAAGAAAAAACAAACAGAAATAGGTTAGGTTTTTTGGGAGATCTTTGTTTTGTAGGGGATTTCACATGTGAATTATCTGAATTTCTTATGCCCAGCCTACTCATAGTTTCATGTCAATAGGTGAGTCATAATGTTGGCCTTGTATCGTCCAGCACAGCAGAGCAAACGAGGAGAAATAAATGACTCGGCTGTCTAAATTTCCTGCGTAAGGGTTGGTCCAGCCCTCAGTCACATGCACAGTCGAGTCACGCTCTTTTGTTTCCACATTCAGGCTCAGCACAACAAAAGCTTGACAGTTCCTCAGTCGAAATGCAGACCCTTGACCTTTGTAACGCTTTGTACCATTCGCCATTAAAAAAATAAAGTTGTTGATCTTAAAATCCGTAAGTCGTAGTACAATATGTCAGTTTGATTACATCAATTGTAAGTTCAGACTGGGTGGAGACGCGGTTCTACTGAACTCGAGTCACATGACTGCAGACCTGACGAAATAGCTGAGGAATGCACACCTCTGGTTTCAGTGAGACTCCTTCACGATGAGTGACGTGGTTACAGTCTTGATGGGTTTATATGAGGGATTTTCTTTTTTTTTCCTACACCAAATAAAGTGAAATCTTGAATGTAACCTCACAAATAAAACTGAAAAGGGGAAGACACTTGATTTTGAGGAACATTCCATTTTAAACATCAGAATAATAAATACTGTTTATGACTGTAAGTTGTACTTCCTAAACTGTTGTTCCCAATGTTTCCTCGCGTGTGTCCGCGCAGGTGCATGGCCAGCACTGTATCTGGTATGGTGAATGTGGAAACTCCACAGTGGAGGAGAAGAAGTTCAACTGCAATTACACAGGCCCTCCTAAACCTTTACCTGATGAAGGACTGGAACTGCTACAGGTGAGAGGACCTTCACCTTTACAACCGTTAGACTGCTCTTCATGATGTGTTGTAGTTTAGAAGGAATGACGAATCTGTCATTTACTCGCCCTGATTAGAAACATGCTAAAACGTGCTAGCAAAATGCTAAAACATGCTAAAACATGCTAAAACGTGCTAGCAACATGCTAAAACATGTTAGCAACATGCTAAAACATGCTAAAACATGCTAGCAACATGCTAAAACATGATAAAACATGCTAGCAACATGCTAAAACATGCTAGCAACATGTTAAAACATGTTAGCAGCTTGGTAAAACATCCTAGAAATGTTTTAGAAACATGTAAAACATGTTAGCAATGTGTTAAAACATGTTGGCAACATTTTATTGACTTCTCTGAGTAAAACCTTCAAGCTTTCAAAGTAATTTCAAACTTTCAAAAAGTAACATCAAAATTTGTCATCAAATTTTACTCTAACATTCGCTTCATGCCAAACATTCTTGGTTCTTAGACTTTCACACACAGTTAATGTCATGGACAAGGTGAACAGTAACTCATTTTATTTCGGTGGAGACCGAGAGAAGAATATAAACTTTATAATAAATATTAGGCTATATTCAAGTTGAACCAAAAGAGATGCATTTTAACTTAAAATATTATTTTCAAGCATTAAAGAAAATCAAATGAGCCTATTTAATTGTTTACATGTTATATGTATATATGTGTTATGCTTTCACTGTAAGTGACATGAGCAAAACAGACCATTTAATAATTCATTGCAATTATTTATTTGACAATTTATTGTCAGAACCAAAGTCACAATCGTGACCGGCCTAACAGAAACTTAATTTTTTTCTTCAAAAAATCCTTTTAACATGGCTTTAGTTTGACATTTCACAAGGGATTCTTCCTATTATCTCGCATGTCAAACCACACAGTGACACATGCTGTAGGCAGTTTGTGAATGAAGACCAAGGTTTGAGTCAATGTTTAAAAGATATGATTTGATCAGTCACTGTTCAGACATGGGAGACGTCACGCTTGGCATTTCCTGTACTTTAAAGCGTAGGAACCCCTAAAGCCCTGATACAGTAGGTGACACTTCAGTGGACTTATTAGCTTTCTTTTACATGAACACGCTGTGAGAAGTTTCATTTCTACAACAACATCAGCATTAAACATTGCTAAAAAGAGTGGCTGTTTTTTAGACCATCGGAAACACTTCTGTCTTCTGTTTCCCGGGCAAACGGTTAGCAAAGAATCAAATACAATTCATTAAATGAATTGTCATCAAAAGCAATGATTCATGGTAAATATCACAAAAATATGCCCAGGTCACAATTTACCCCAAAATCGAAAGAAAAAAGAATTTCTATTTAGTATAGAACTTTTTTTTTGCTGATATTCTCGTGATGCATCAACATGGTTTACTTTTGCTTTTGCTTTTTTTTTTTGCTTTTTTTTTTTTTTTTTGCTTTTTTTTTAGTAGACAAATTTCATTATTTTTGTTGTCATGGTTTATTTTATTTTAAATTTTTTTGCTGTTAAAAATCTTATAAAAAAAGTATTGTATTTATGTTTTGGAAAAGTTTATTAGATTAAAAAATAAGGGTCTTTTAAGTTTAAAGTCCTACATTTGTTTGAATTAATCTATGTATTATTATTTATATAATTTTTGTTTTTCAGGAGCTCTGTCCTGGGCTGGTCTATGGGGACAACGAGGTTTGCTGTGACACGCAACAGCTCACGACTCTGAAGAGCAATATCCAGATCCCCCTTCAGTACCTGTCCAGGTATGGCTGAAATACCTCTATGAAGATACATATACACTAGGCAGTTTTGTGTATCGGAATAAGAACACTGACCCATTATTGAGTCACAAGCAGGTTATTGATTAATTTTCAGTTGAAACCAAACATGTACTTGCTTGACACAGTTTACATTGGGAGAGTTGCCCAGTTTATGGCAGCAATATAATATGCACTTCATAACCGCTTTAACTTGTCCCTGTTTTTGTGTGCCAGGTGTCCAGCATGTTTCTTCAACTTCATGACCCTGTTCTGCGAGCTCACCTGCAGCCCCAGACAGAGCCAGTTCGTCAATGCCACACAGTTCTCTGCAGACCCGGAGCTAAACAAAACCAATGTGCTTCAGGTGTCCTATTACATCAGCCAGACCTTTGCCAATGGTGAGGAACAGCGACTGGAGGAGAAGATCCCAGATTTACTGATGCTTCAGATGCTTGATTCATAACATCAGAACGTGACTTACTTCAGTAAAGCCCTCGATTCAGAAATGGTGCTGATCAATGAGAACACTTAGTCCTTATTTCTGACAATGGGTCCTAAACTGCTTTTAAACACGCACACATTAGAAAACCATCTTAGTTGTGTTTCCCATTCTTTGAACTTTTGTTTTATTAAGTTCTCCATACTACTAATACTACTACTAATAGTTTTAATAATAATAATCCTTTTTCAAAAAAATATTATATGTATTATTATTTGTAGTAGTATTTCAATAATAATACTTGTGGAAAATATTATTATTTGTTAATAATAATTAATTGTGGATAAAATTATTATTAGTAATAGTATTTAACTACTACTACTACTAATAATAATAATAATAAAAATAATAATAAAAATGTATAATTATCTGTTAATATTAATGATATCAAAAATACATATTCATTGTTGATATTATTTATTATTATACATTAATAATAATAATTGTGGATAAAATTTGTATTTATATATTTGTATAATTATTATTTTTCAATACTAACACTACTACTAATATATAATATTTATTATAATCTTAATTTAATATTAAAAACAAAAATAATTAATAACAAAATACTTAATTGTGGACAAGATGATTCTTCTTATTATTTTTGTTATTATATAATAAATAGGCATACATGTATGTATGGTGTTCTGAGTTGTCCAGTCTTAAATATCAGATCATATCAGGACTTGTTTTTTTTCCAGTTCATTTACATTTCAAAGCATTCTGTGGTCACTCTGGAAGTGTATTTCTGCTCGCTGGTGAAAGACCTCTCGCTCGACCCTGACCCGGGGCCAGATAAAGCATCAGCGTTCTCTGACTTTCATAGAACATGCTCTTCGCTTCAGGCAAAAATGCAAAACTCATGAGTGATGCAGACTGCAGATAAAGCATATTTGCACTCTGCTTCACTCAATACTCTGTTCTGGGACGCCATGAACACTAGTGAAGTGATACAAATGTCCCAGTACTGTTATATTAAATTACTCGGCCAATCAAATTAGAGAACTGTAACTAACCGTTGTATAAAATCTTGTAGGTAACCATTTATTTGACATCTCTCTACAGCCATGTATGACGCCTGCAGTGACGTCCAGGCTCCCTCCACCAACATCAAAGCCCTCGGTCTGCTGTGTGGGACAGACGCCAGCGAGTGCACTCCCCAGGGTTGGATCAAGTACATGTTCGACATCAAGAACGGCCAAGTCCCCTTTGCTATTGAGGCAGTTTTCTCAGGTACAAGCACACATAAGCACTTTCAGAATAACAAGACTTCATAAAACCTCTTTATAAGCTTCAGCATTGTTGCTTGAAGTAATCCACTAATTGTATTGCTTTCAAACTCGTATATTGTGACTCCAAATCTGTTTCACGGCCGTCCATGAAGCTTATATTCTCGAGATTGAATTGGGTGTTGAAAATGTTTGGTGTCCCCAGATGTACCCACCATGAGCATGACTCCCATGAGCAACAGGACGTTTAACTGTACGCAGTCTCTGGATGACGGCTCAGGGCCCTGCTCCTGTCAGGACTGCAGTAAAGCGTGCGGTCCCACACCCGTGCCTCCTCCGGTCCTTCCTCCCTGGACCATCCTCGGCCTGGACGCCATGACCCTCATCATGTGGTGCTCTTATATAGCCTTCCTCTTCATCTTCTTTGGAGTCGTGCTGGGAGCGTGGTGTTACAGGCAAGTTACAGATTTGTGAGGGACAGTTCCTTAAAACAATCTGACTTTGCATATTTGCATGGTAAAACACAAAACGACACACCCAGTTTTGTTTTAACCAAAACTCAATTGCATAAAGCACCAAAGTCCAATGCTGACGAAAGGGAAACCAGTGAGTAAAAAGTCACAACATATCACAGTTTTGTATGCTGCAAACTGAACATCAACAAATCACAATATAATCATGAACCAGACATATCAATATGATATAGTGTTGCCAGGTCTCCGCTGATTCCCATTCCTAGTAATTATTAGTCATTAACAGTGTCAGTAACGCATTATAAGTAACGCGAGTTACATAATCGGATTACTTTTTCAAGTAACTAGTAAAGTAATGCATTTCTGAGTTACTTATTTATTTCACTTTTGGTGTGAAAGGACCTGAACATTTGCCAAAACATTTTTTTTTTTATTATTATTATTATTACAAAACAAACAAGCAATCCCACATCCCAGTGAGAAAAGGTAACTGTCAAGTGGAGTCACCTTTATTTGTATAGAACTTTTTACAATCCAGATTGTTTCAAAGCAGCTTTACAGGGATAACAGGAAAATAATGCAACAAAGTTTGTTTCTAGAAGAAATTTGGTCACAGTCCAGCTTAAGTTCAGTGATGGTTCATTTTTGTTGTAAAAGTTATTAATTTATTCATCCGCTCTGGAGAAAACGGTGATGTTATCGGTAACGAAACACATGGAAGTAATGAAACGTATGACTTTCCCATAAAGTAACTGGACACCTATCAGTCCAGGTTTGTTTTGTTGTGTGTATTTGTTTGTTTATTGGATCATGTTGTATTTATGTTTTGTTTATCTAATTACAGACGGAGGATGGTCACATCTGAATATGGCCCTATTCTTGACAGCAACCAGGCCTACTCCGTGAACTCTGGTGGCACAGATTTTGTAGGTATGTAAATTATAATCATTATTAAAGTCAACTTGACAACTGCCCCACCGTGGCGTTACTTTTTTTTTGTATGTGAATGCTGTTTTACGTGAATATTACGACACTAGTGAAGCACAAAGCTTTGTTTACAAAAGAATTAATAGGTTGGCAATTAAATGTTAAATCGCAACCGTGAAAACATTTGGATTCATGTTGATTGAGAGAGGTACATGAACCCATATATTTAAGCCGTTGGTCGGCTTTGTGTTCCGTTTTGTCAGCCCGCTTATTATTGCAATTGAATTATGTGTGTATTAAATTCACACATCACCTTTAACATCCGTCAAAATAATCACTTCTCCACAAAATGGCACGTTTCCTCCAGTCCTCACTGAGTGTGGTCCTAATTTCTTAGATGAAGCTACTTGCTGCGAGACGTTGGGCGAGCGTTTCGAGAACATGCTGCGTGTTCTCTTCAGCAGCTGGGGCTCGCTGTGTGTCCGCCAGCCCTTGACTGTGATCCTGGCCAGCATGGTGCTGGTGTCCATCTGCTCAGCAGGACTGTCCTACATGCGCATCACCACCAACCCGGTGGAGCTCTGGTCGTCTCCCAGCAGCAGGGCCAGGCAGGAGAAGGACTATTTCGACCAGCACTTTGGACCATTTTTCCGCACTGAGCAGCTCATCATCACCACCTCGTGGAATAATTCGGGCTCCTTTTCCCCCCAGACTGGACCAGAAATCTACTTCTCCCCCATGCTGAACATATCACTCCTCCATCAGGCAAGTCAACAAGTAGTACTGTGTAATAGAGCTGCGTGATTAATCGTTAAAAGATTGCGATCTCGACTCAAACACTCACGCAATCTTATTCCTCAATGACGATTCATCAACTGTGTCTATTAAACCTTTGACAAGTACGATCACAGCGGACATTCAGATTTGCGTCTGCACTGCGGCTGAGCCGGAGAGAGCAGTTGTAGGCCTGTCACGATAACAAATTTTGCTGGACGATACATTGTCCAAGAAATGATTGCGATAAACGATAATATTGTCGTTCTGAGACCATTTACATCTAAAATAATGATAATGGCATAATAATGCAGGTACACCTTTTCAAAGATCAATAAACTTTTTATTTCTATAGACTATTTAAAGGTGCTCTATGTAACTTTTCTACTAAAATGAATCCTTTTTTTATTGCCTGTGTGTGAAGGGGTTGTAATCACACATTAAAATGATCCACTTGTCGAGTTTTGCTATTACCTCTGAAGGCCAGTATTCCTATTTCTATATGAAGTCTCCGGGTCGGATTTACCGTGAAATCCAACGGATGTGACGTGCACGCGCGCTCCCGAGCCTCTCTCCTTATATACAGTCTATTGTAGACGGTCAGGGAGTTACGTCCGGTTAAAAGCGCACGTTTTTCGGCTTATATCTCAGTCAATCTTTGATCAATATTCCCAAGACTCTAATCGTTCGTAGTGCTGGACGGGGCCTTTCGAACGAGCCCACCCCCGAGGTCCAATTCGCCCGGCTCCCCGATTTATAGCCGTTCGAAATCGGGGGTCCCAGCGAACGGCGATCCGGTAGGGGGCATCCCCGAGGCCCGCCACTCTAGCGTTCGGGCAAGGATTCCCCTGAGACCTCCTCCCCCGAATTTGAGCTCTCTGGGTCTTTGCGTTCCAGAGATACGAGCGATTTTTCTTCTGAGATCGTGACGTCACCGGCGTCCGCAATTTTGCAGCGCGCCCGATGGTTTTCTGCTAATATCTCCGTGAAAACACCACCAAAAACTATGGAACTTATATGGTTCTTTTCAGCTCGACTAGATGGTCCCAACGAGCTCGGTGCTCGCCGAATCCGTCTAGTATTCGCAGAGATATTTGCGTAATAGATGGTATTGTCTATGAGTTCGAGCACGAGCGCTCTTGTAAAATTTGGTTGCAATCTGAAACCACCACTAGAGGCCGCTAAAAGTTACAAAGAGCACCTTTAACACTGAAAATGGAAAACATTTTAAACATCCACAATAAATGAACAAAACAACCAAAAACTATAAAAGAAATGGACTCTCAGTCTCTGTTAACAAAAAATGCACTTCTTTGTTCTTTCCACACAAAGACCATGTGACTACAAGAAGGTTCACTCAGTCTAGAGCTTAGATCGGGCCCAAAAATTCAAGCCTGACCCTACCCTATGATAAATGATTTGTTATTAAAGCATTCACACACAAACCACTGTTAATTTAACATAAAAGCAAGCAGGCTACTGCGTGCGTGCATGGTCTGGCATGACTGAATGCGTGCAAAGTGCGTTCCCTTCATGATTCCTAAAAAGCTGACAGTTCATCGCGATCTCACACATCTCTGTTATTATCAATGAAGCTGACTGCACAATGAATCTTTCATAATATCCACACTTTGTTATAAAAAAGAGGATTTGCCAGCAGAATTCAGCACTGAACAAGAAGTCAGTTTTGAGCGGTGAGGGGAGTCTATCTTGAATGCTTCTGATTGGCCATTGCGTTCAAGAAATCAACACATGTCTGTGATTGGCTATATCGCTCAACGCTGCAAACATGTTATGAATAGAAACTCTGGCCTGTAAATCGTTTCTATTTTGTTTTAGTTTTTCTTGTTGCTTTTCTGCAACAGATGAATACAAATCTATTAGTTTTCATGTTTTATTCATAGATATTGCTAGTTTGCTTGAGTCCCGCGAATCGTTTTATTCTCCCGCAACCCGCACACAGAGTGAGTGCATTACCGCTCGCACTCGGCCATCAAATCTAGTGCCGCACCGCACTATTGCGCTGGGAGTGCACGTCTCTATATCAAGGGTCAAGTTCGGGCTCAGGCAGAGAATGTATTCTGTTTAAAAATGTATTTGTCGTTGAATTATTCATTCAAGAAGTTCTTTAAAAAAAATGCTGATTCATCCAGTAATGAAACAAGTGAAAACTTTGAGTGAGTCATTGAATCGTTCAATCAAACAGATTTTTTTAATAATAAATAATAGATAAAAAATAAAAAATTTAAATAGATTGCAGCAAATAGTTTTGTCAGAACCTCTACTAAATGACATGTTATTTTGTTTAGTCGTCTATTCAGAAGTCATCTCTATTTTAAACAAAAAAATGTGATTCTCAATTTATCCAGGATCGTGCGGCTCTGATGATGGTGAATGTTAGGAAAAATTAATATCTGACCAATCAAGTATAACTTGAAAGCCCACTTGATTAGATTTGATATGGTAAAATCTATTGTAGGAGCCTGTCACAGTGACATTCAAGGGTTTTTAAGTGTGGCTCCAAATGCTTTTAAAAACAGTAGGGTTTACTGTCTCTTTTTTTTATTTTTTATTTTAAGTTATGTGTATGAAATTTGAGCGATAGCCTTGGAGATGTGATGTTTTGTTAATATTTTTAGTATTTTCGCTCTACAACTGTTTTTTCCTCTCCTCTCCGTTTCCATGTAGGTGTTGGATCTCCAGACAGAAATAACAAATCTAAAAGCGGAGTATAAAGGAGAGACCGTGACTCTACAAGACATCTGTGTTTCTCCACTGGCTCCGTACAATAACAACTGTACCATCCTGAGTGTGTTAAACTACTACCAGAACAGCCATGAAGTCCTGGATCATGTGAATCGTGACGAATTCCAAATCTACTTTGACTACCACACTCATTTTCTGTATTGTGTCAGGTGAGCTTTTCTGGTTTGTTTGATTGGAGCGCTGCAGTGATGTATTTTTGTAAGTCAACTCTGAATAGCATCGCCCTGTTTCCCTCGACGAAAACAATAGGCTTTTGGATTAATGCAGAAAATAAGCTCTGTGACCAACAAAAGTTTATGATTCTTAATGTTTTGTTCGTTATGATAATCTTCACCAATGAACAACTTAATGAATTTTGAAGCGTAAATGCAATCGGCAGAAGTAAAAAGCTAAACTTAGGCTTTAAACGGATTACACTACGGTCACACAACTTCAACGTCGCCATCATTACGCGTCAGACAACTCTTTCAGTCCTTAACATTATCCCTGAAAGTTTGAGTTGGAATAGTTTTGCCATTATAAACATGAGGCAGTGAAAACCAGAAGTGTTATAATGCTAACTTGTTTCTGGGATTTGGCCTTCGAAATTACACCATCCCTGCAACACTCTTTTATGATTTAATGCTTTTGTTTCGATTAAACTTTGAACATTTAAAAGTGAATAAACTCCCAATACACTAATAAATTCCCACCTTTTTTTTTTTTTTTAAAGAGTTTTACTCAGTCTCTCTTATCTTTTGCTTTTGGTCCTAGTTCTCCCACGGCCCTGGATGACACAAGCCTCCTTCATGACCCCTGCATGGGTACATATGGAGGCCCAGTTTTCCCCTGGCTTGTTCTTGGTGGATATGAGGGTGAGTTTGACAGGACTGAACATAAAGACGAAAGAACAGACATATTTGTGATCTTAAAGTCCCTCTGTTATGAAAATCAAGTTTTAAATGTTGTTTATATGTCTGAGGTGTTTTTAATGTGCTTTAAGCAAATTCAAATTCATAAGTCAACTCCATTGCTGAGTATTTTCTCCTTAAAACTGCAGTGAACCAAAGACAGTCTCAAAAACACGGTTTGAAATCACTGGTGTTTCTGACGTCACAAACTACTAGACTACAGGGGGACTTTAATTTTGTAACACACCTTACTTAAAAATTGGGGTTGGAGAATATTTTTTTATGTTTTAAAGAAGTCTCTTCTGCTCATCAAAGCTGCAATTATTTGATCAAAATATAGTGAAATTATGAACTACAGTATTATTATAGTTTAAAATAACTGTTTTCTATGTGAATATATTTTAAACTGTAATTTATTCCTGTGGTCAAAGCTGAATTTTCAGCATCATCACTCCAGTCTTCAGTGTCACATGATCCTATTCTAATATGATGATTTGATGCTCAAGTAACATTTCTTATTGTTTTTATTATTATTAATAATGAAATCAGTTGACTTTACTTTCACTTTTAATCAATTCAATACATCCTTGCAAAAAAAGTATTAATTTTTTTTCTTTTTCTTTTTAAGTTTATGACACCAAACTTTTGATCTGAAGTGTATATAATATAATTATATTAGGGTTGTCACTGTACCAAAATTTTACTAGTCGGTACTCCGAAGCAATACTGGTAAAAATTCAATACCGGTTTTCGGTAACTATTATTTTTATTTTACTGTTTGAAAATAACAATATTAACGCATTAAAACAAGCATGTAGCCTTCAAATATTGTTACTTTAAGTGAAAATTCTATTAAAAGATCAAATAAAAAGTTAATGAAATGGAAAAACAAAGAAACAAAACAGGTCTGGCAGGTCTATTGCACATACTCTTTAAGACATGATGCACAGATCTATTTTGACATGCCAGATTTGTTTGTCCCATCCCTTGCTGTGGTTATATCACTATATCAAACATTGCAATTTCAGATTCAGTCCCGCGTTTTAATTCGGTTGTCACTAACGAAACTTTTGCAGTGTGTACAGCAGAGTGACGCCACGACACCTGCATCTTCTGTATGTGCGTCTACACTATATAATGTTGTTTTCTGTTTTGTCCTTTTTCATATATAGACAATGCCTACAACAATGCCACAGCTCTAGTGATCACCTTTCCTGTCAACAACTACCTGAACGACACGGAAAAATTAGGCAAAGCTTTGGCGTGGGAGAAAGTGTAAGTGTGTTAAGTTACTATATCCTATGGATGAATAGATGATTTATGGATTAAAAAAATAAAACGATTATCTGATCTAGAATCACAACTACTGATTACAAAATATATAACAAGCGTTTAAGAGTAACTTTATTCATACCTCCACAGGTTTATCGACTTTGTGAAGAACTATAGGAACCCCAACCTGATCATCTCGTTCAGCTCGGAGCGCAGCATCGAGGATGAGATCGACCGCGAGAGCAACAGTGATGTCACCACCATCGTGATCAGCTACGTCATCATGTTTGTCTACATCTCGCTGGCTCTGGGACACATCAATAGCTGCCGATCCCTGCTGGTAAGACCCTCACGACTCTCCGTTCTGCGTGTGGCTTTAAGTCTGAAGGCCCCGATATTCTCAAACTTCTTTTCGTTCTTCGAGGTAAAAAGAATTTGAAATAACTTTGCAGAGATGAACTGTTAGCGAACATCCCAACACCTCCCACACTGCCGATAGCAGCGTTTAGATGAATATAGAAATAAGCGCTGCACGCGTTCCCCTCAATAACAAAATAAATGCACAATGACATTGGTGAAAAAAACAATCTTATCATAGTGGCGTGGATATGTGTGCACCAGCTCTGCAATTCAGCTCTTCAGTCAGGTCACGTTATTTTGATATATATAGCACTTTGTATAACAGACTTCTGCTTGAACTCGAGCAGCTTTACAGTATTAAATTTGAAAAACTGCCAGTCTCGCTTTCAATTAGAATTACAACTTCAATTTCCCCAATAAAGCAGCTCTCGAGTGTGTCCATGTTTAGCGGGAAGTTCACATTAGCAAGCTGTTTCTACTGCCTAAACGAATTCTAAATTCACTTTTTTTTTCTCGAAGTGTCGATCTCACGCCAGTTTGTTCTTTTTCTTGAAGTAAATCAGGGCGTTAAAACTTTGTATTTCTTCATACAATTGAATATACCACAAAACTTCATACAGTGACACTTTAATATAAAAATTAGTGCAATCCCGTTAGCTAATACTTTGCCACATAGTAGGGTTTTTCATATTGCACTTCAGAATAAACATTTCCTGATGATTTACTCACCCCCATGTCATCCAAGATGTTCATGTCTTTCTTTCTTCAGTCGAAAAAGAAAGGTTTTTTGAAGAAAACATTCCAGGATTTTCCAATGGGTAAAACAACCAGGGTCCAAATTGCAGTTTCAGTGCAGCTTCAAAAGGCTCTACACGATTCCAGCTGTGTGAACAAGGGTCTATCTAGCGAAACGATCTGCCATTTTCTAAAAAAAATAATACCACACATGCTCGTCTTGCTCATCCACGACTTCATGCCTTACGTAATCACGTTGGCAAGGTCAGGCGGTAACCTGACGTAGGGTGAAACTCATTTTCTCTAACTTAAAAATTGTCCCACATCGTTGTTTTTCCTTTTATTTTTTTTTTTTTTTTAAAGGGGCGTTTGACTTAGTCTTTGCACGTTCGCTTTATAAACACTAGGTCGGTACTTCCGCCTACGTCACGCTTGACCTTTCAACGTGATTACGTAATGTGGCGCATCACAGCCAGTGCAAGACGAGCATTTGTGGTTAAAAAGTATACATATATATATATATATTTGAAATTTGTTTTTTTTGAAAATGGCCGATCGTATCGCTAGATGAGCCCCTTATTCCTCGGCTGGGATCGTGTAGAGACCTTTAAAGCTGCACTAAAACTGCAATTTGGACCTCTAACCTGTTGGTTCCCATTGGAGTCCACTAAATGGAGAAAAATCCTGGAATGTTTACCTCAAACCATAATTTCTTTTCGACTGAAGAAAGACATTACTATCTTGGATGATGTGGGGGTGAGTAAATCATCAGGAAATTTTAATTCTGAATGGAACTAATCCTTTAATCCCAGGTTATCGTTGTTCTTAACTTTGCTTTTAACCCCCGGTAGAGAAACGTTTCACGATTTGTATTTTAGAAGTGGGGTTAGCACTGCTTTTTACCTGGGGTTTCATAAACCGGTCAAGTGATCCATTCAATGACACTGACATCACAAAATAAGAATATTAACTCAGGGTTTAGGAATGTACAGTGTGAAGCGTCAGTTTATAAATACCCAGGATTAATTTTTAACCCTGGGTTAATTATGAGCAATGTAAAACATGAAGCAATTTACCCTGGGTTTAAAGTTGACTATTTTAATTTTGGGAAAAAAAATTTAAGTACAGCTCTATTTTTTCTGCCATGCATTTATGGTTTTCTTTTCTTTGGCTGTTCTTTCGCTCATGTGAGTGCTGTCATGTTCTCATCGTTTTATTTGAAATTGTGCATTTTTATGTGTGGTACAGGTGGACTCCAAGATCTCTCTGGGTATCGCTGGTATCCTGATCGTGTTGAGTTCAGTGGCGTGTTCTCTGGGTATCTTCAGCTACATCGGCATCCCCCTCACGCTCATCGTCATTGAGGTCATTCCCTTCCTCGTGCTGGCCGTGGGTGTGGACAACATCTTCATCATTGTGCAAACCTACCAGGTGCGTGGACATCTAAATGTCCTGAGAGCAGATGTTAGCGCAAGCGTGACGCATTCTGAGAAGTGCTGTGGTTGTTTTGTTGATGTCAGTTGACTGCACTAAAATAACTCGGGCAAGCATTTTTTAGTTCCTAAAAGTTTGGTTCCATCGTTTGTAATGTTGTTGATGGTTGAGATTGTTTGCCTTCATAATAGATTTTTGTGTTCTTCAGAGAGATGAGCGAATGCCGGAGGAAGAGCTTCATCATCAGATTGGCCGTATCCTCGGAGATGTGGCTCCCAGCATGTTCCTCTCTTCGTTCTCCGAGACAGTTGCTTTCTTTTTAGGTATGTCAACCTGTAATTAAATCTTGTATTACTTACAAATGGTTGTTGGATCGTTTGATTCTCACTTCCCTTTCCAGATGCCTATAGTTTCTGTGTTCACATGTCCACAGGTGCTCTGTCCACCATGCCTGCGGTGAGGACGTTCTCTCTGTTCGCTGGTCTGGCCGTCTTCATTGACTTCCTCCTGCAGATCAGCTGCTTCGTGTCTCTGCTGGGCCTGGACATCCAGAGACAAGAGGTGAGAGGTCAAAGTTCACACCAGTTCTAGCTGTGGGAGAGTTAAAGGAATAGACGGTTGAGTTCACGACCTCTCAAGTGACGTTGGAAATGTCACACGTGACATAGGCGGCAAGAACCGCCCCATTGTTTACTTGCCGGATACAGACACAACATATTTTTTTTTATGCACTGAAACATATACTAATATTCAGCAACAACCATTTGTTTTGGTCAGAGCTTCTTATCCACACTTGTAAACAATTCTTGCTGCCTACATCACGCGTGAATTTCCCAATGTTTATACGTCACGCGTCATCTTGGATGCCCTTGGGGTGATTTAAATAATTAGAAAATGTGAAATTGTGTGAACTATTTCTTTAAGGCCTGTTCACCTTAAGAATGATAACTATATTAGCGTCCACACTAGACATGTGCCGCTATTCGGTAATGCGATAAATCGCGGTAATTAACATACACGATATTGTTATCGCGGGCACTTCAAAATACCGTGAAAAATAATAGATTCGAATTTAGACTTTTACAACGCGCATTAGCTTATTTTCCATCAACCGCTTAAACTGCGTATATGCAGCGCAAAACACGTGCGCACTCTGATGTAAACAATCCCCACATGTATAAGCACAGTGTGCATGCGGCGCAGTGCGCACTCTAGTCTAATGTAAACAATCCTCACATGGAGTAGAAGCATGGCGGAAGGAGGAACGCTGCCGACGATTGCAGGGCTGCCAACTCTCACGCATTCAGCTTGAGACTCAAGCGCCTTTCAGACAGGACGCGGAACACGCGCGGGGACGTTTTGTTGCTGCGTCGACCAAAGCACGCCTGGGTCAAAGTTCAAAATAGTTCAACTTTTTATTTGCAAAATAGCAAATCGCGTTGTATCTGAAGGGCAACGTTGAACCCAGCGGCCAGCGCCGCGCATTCCGCGTCCTGTCTGAAAGGCGCTTTACGCAATTGACACTTTTCACACGCTCTCACGCAGAGAAAAATCGCCGAGCAAAGAGGACACTGACAGACTAGACAGAGCAGGTTACTTTTGATATATATCTAAAAACATTCAGCTCTTAGGTTCTGTCCATTGTGACAGATCGCTGCGCCTCAGTTCAAGTAAACCGATCATCTGTTACTTTTTATTTAAAGATACAGTACAGCGAGGAGTATTTGGCTAAATATGTCCATATTACATATTTATTATATGTTTACTTGTCATTACATAATTGTTATTATAATGAAAACCGCATTGTATTTCATTTCTCTCTGTATGTTTAAAGCATTGTGAGATATATTTTTTTCTTGAGAAAAATTTACATGCAGACTGTAGCCTACCTAATATTTATCCAAATGAGTCAATATTGAATTAAGATTGAAATCAAATCCAAGAATTTAATTGAATAATACAAACAGTAGCCTACCAGTCATTGTACCATGTAAACATTGTAACATGTTGTCGCTAAACTTAATAAAATTGTTTAGTTACCATATGTTTTGAAAATCACAATTACACATTGTGATGCAAGTTGTTTAGATACCCACAATCCATCTGTTTCTCTTGAGCAATTAAAATATCGTGATAATACCATATACCGTGATAAAAGCTCAATCAATTAACCGCAGCATGAAAATTTGATACCGGCACATGCCTAGTCCACACCAGCAGACAATATCGTTCTGTTTATTCTACTCGCGCACTGCAGTTTCGTCGCCTGCCTCTTTAAATGCTGGAGCTCTTAAAGCAGGATCGCTTCTGATTGGCTGTCAATAACGATACCAGCTCATGAGCGGTAAAAATATAGTTGTGGTGTGAACTTTGCGGGTCTTTTATATTTAGAGCAATTTTTATAACTATATATCTTTATATAGTCTATATAGTTTATATCTTTATATAGTCTATATAGTTTATTTAACTATGTCGTTATAGTTATCATCCTTGGTGACTAGAAACATAATGTAAAATAATGAAGTGGGTTTGAAAATATAATTCTAATTCACAGCAACCGATTTTCATTTGTCAAGTCACTTTTTTTGAAAGTAGCATGATTAGCTTTTTGTATCATTGTATTTTTAAGCAGCATTTTCTTGTATCAATATGCGAGTATGAATGGTCTGATAATGCTTTAAGATATTCGGCTTACGTTTGTGTTTTTCCCCCCCAGGCAAATCGGACAGATATATTGTGCTGTGTGAAGTTGTCTGATGGACCGCAAGCGAAATCGGAAGGTTGTCTGTTCCGTTTCTTTAAGAAGATATACGCTCCTTTCATTTTAAAGGATTGGGTGCGCCCCCTGGTGGTAGGTGTAAAACAACATTAATATTGTTGTATATTATAATATCATACTTTTGGCTCAAGGTATACATTTTATCTGTATGTGTTTTATGGGAATTGAACCCATGACATTGGTCTACCAGTGTAGCTAAACATGGCAATGATGTACAAATAGAGTATCTTTTGATTCCCATCTACAGGTTGCTGTGTTTGTGGGAATGCTGTCATTTAGTATAGCCGTTGTTAATAAAGTGGAGATTGGACTTGAGCAGACGTTGTCCATGCCTGATGTACGTATGTATACCATTCTTCTCATTGTTGACAGACCTTTAGCGCACATTTGCATTGTGAAGAACCTGAAAGGGGTCATTGTGAACTTAAATCGTCCCGGTCTCCCTGTTGCAGGACTCCTATATGCTGGATTACTTTAGGAATCTGAGTGAGTACCTGCACACCGGGCCGCCCGTTTACTTCGTGGTAGAGGATGGACATGACTACAAAACATCGGAGGGCCAGAACGCGGTGTGTGGCGGAGTCGGCTGCAACAGCGACTCTCTAGTCCAGCAAATTTATGCCGCTTCTCTCTTGGAGAACTAGTGAGTGACTCCTTTTCAGTGAGGGAAAAGTTTCAATACACCAGTGTTGTTTTAGTATCATTGTATTCATATTTTGAATTTGGGTTGTATTTTTTTTATTATAATTTTTACTTTGAATTTTGTAATTTGTTTTGTTTTATATACGCCTATGTAGTTTATGATTATTTTATTTTTTTAGTACATCAAGTTAAACTAAATGCCTTTGGCAACAAGCTGAAATGAAATGTTTTACTCATTTTTTATATATATATTTCAGTTAACATTTATTTCAAGTAACAAAATAGTTTTTGTGATGGTTTCAGTTAACTGTAATAACCCTACAATAAATAAATGTTTTGCTTTATTTTGCTAGTCCTTTTAAGTGTAGGAAATTCCCAGAAAGTTGCAGAATTTATTAACTGCTTTGTTTATGAATAACCTCGGTCAGATCAATATAGTAATATCCTGTGTCGCAATTTCAGCACTAAGATCAGCAACGTCCCATCGTCCTGGCTGGATGACTACTTTGACTGGGTGAAGCCGCAGTCGTCCTGCTGCAGATATTATAACGCAACAGGAGCTTTCTGCAATGCTTCAGGTAAACCATTATCCAGCGAATCAACAGAGCCTTGACCAGAGGACCTTTATGCATTTGACATCAGTTCCCACTGTACAGATCACACTGTTCTTGGGTCTTTGAACTCACTCTTTGCAAATAGATTTCGATGGGAATTGTTTGTCATGATGTATGTGCATTTATCATCACAATCAAAGCATTTTTAGTATCAAATTGTGATTTATTATTATATATATATTTTTTTTTTAAATGGATAGTTCACTCCAAAAAAGGAGAATTCTGTCATTTAGGGTGTGTTCAGTTCTTTTGGTCTGGATCAAAAAAAGATGATGCATTTAGTCCTGGTTCGTGTAGCGTTCACACTGTCATTTTCAACTCCGAACCTAAAGATACAAAACGAAAAAATCCCTTTTATGATTTATATTTTGCAATGGGACATATCAAACATGTAAAACAATGCTGTGCTGGGTTTAACTCGTTCGTTGTATGTGCGTATGGTGATATTTTGACCAGCTGAGAACCCTTGAAGAGCTTATAAAAAGGGTCAAAACGACAGCAGGAATCCCTCCGTCACACACACAAAGGAAGATCTGCTGCGAAGAGACACGGTTCTGATGCCTGTACTGAACTGTAAAGGGCAACATCGCATCTATGATGAGAAAAAACAAGTTTGCTTGAGCATTCTGTCCTTGACATCACGTCCTATTTTGGTTCGTTTACACGTCTTTAATCCGTGTTACATTCATATTTAATTCGAACTGCAACAGTTCATTTGGAAGTGGACCGAGACTCATCTTTTCAGAGGTTTGGTGGCACCAGGGTTCAGATGGCAGCGTTCACACTTATTCAAATGAACCGGACTAACAGAGCTGTGAACTCAGCCTTACTCACCTTCATGTTGTTCCAAACCTGTATGACTTCTGTGGAACACAAAAGGTGGTGACAGAATTTTTATTTGAGCTTTTTCTCTGTATCTTGATGTCTTTCTGGTTTTTTTCCATCAGTGGTGGATAAGAGCTGCGTTCACTGCAGACCTATGACAACTAGTGGGAAACAGAGGCCTAATGGTACCGAATTCATGCACTTCCTCCCCATGTTTCTCTCGGACAACCCAAATATCAAGTGTGGAAAAGGGTAAGTTTACATGTTTCTTTTGATCAGATTTGCCATCCCAGTACATGTCCACCATATGACCATCTTTTGTATATTGTACACACCAATTGAAAGTTTTTGCTGAAATCACAAGCTGATTGTATGCGATTTTCATGGTTTAGGGTGCATTGGGTTTTACCAGTAAGCATAGTAAAAGGTTTTGCACAATTAGCAAATGATTTAAATGTTTAGTAGCAGTAAACTGGATTTTCACATACATTTACAATTCATACTTCTGTGTAATAACCAGTACTTAGTTGACAAAAACATCTGAATGTTTAAAAATAATGAGACTTCTGTACCTGCAGCATTCGATTTTTCACAGTAAAAACATTTCAGTTTTTAATTACCAAAATAAAAGTCTTTCACAAAAAAAGAGGGGGAAAAAAAGAATGAAAGACTTGCGTTATTTTAAATGATTGTCTTGAAGAAAAGAAAGTTTTGGAAACCCTGTTGTGAGTAATAACTGCTTTTCTTTCCTGCGCAGCGGTCATGCTGCGTACAGCACTGCTGTGGCTCTGAAAGAGAACGGCACTGACGTAGGCGCCACATACTTCATGAGCTATCACACCATCTTAAAAACATCAGCTGACTACATCGACGCCATGAAGATGGCGCGAGAGCTTACGGACAACATCACGCAGGCCGTCACACCGCATGACAGGAGTTACCGCGTCTTCCCTTACAGGTAAACGCACCTTGAGCACGAGATGATGTCTTGCTCTGTCATTTAAGTTTACCCAAGATGCATTGCATTTGTGTTGGTGTGTCACCAGGCTAAACTATCCTTACTGTCGAGCCCTTCAGACAAACTTGAAAAGAGATCCTAGTCTGAAATAAGGATCCATACACTTTAACTATCAAAACAAATGCTTAAAAAGAGCAGCTGAGTCAAAGTCACATGGAACGTTCAGGAAAGCAAAGATCATCCTTAGTGACCCACTTCCACAAAGCGTGGTGAAATTGTGCAAATGTATCATAAACCTAAAACTCTGAATGCAAACAGGTGTGTCGTCCTCATGAGGGTCAGTTATGTAGGGCTGCCCTTTTTTTTAGGCCTTACCATTTCTAGTTATTATTGTTGTTATGTAATAAATACTAGGATTGTCAGTTGTCGAACACATTTAAAGCCAGATTTACTAACTGTTTGCGCCCGTAAACAGTTTAAAACGTCAAACTACTGTCAGGATTTAGTAAAGACACACAGTGAAAAAATAGTGCTGAAAAGGCATGTTTTATATATGCAAAATGTATGACGAGAGTACTTAAAGCATATTAAAAACATTTAAAAGCTTGATTTTCACTGCAGGGGGACTTTAAGACAAACCATGAACACCATTGCTGAGTATTTTCTCCTTAAAACTGCAGTGAACCAAAGACAAAGACTCATTTGTACATTCCTTTTTTCCCCCCATGGACAGTATATTCTACGTCTTCTATGAACAGTACCTCACCATCGTCCACGACACTGCCTTTAACCTTGGTGTGTCACTGTTGGCCATCTTTGTGGTGTCTACGGTGCTCTTGGGCTTCGAGCTGTGGTCGGCAGTGCTGGTGTCCTTAACCATTGCCATGATCCTGGTCAACATGTTCGGAGTCATGTGGCTGTGGAGCATCAGCCTCAACGCTGTCTCATTGGTCAACCTTGTCATGGTGAGTGAACAAAGGAAGAGTGTTTTGTGACTGGAACCCACTATGATACACAGTATTTGGTAACACTTTATTTTACAGTGTCCTTGTTACATATGTTACATGTACTTACCGTAGTAATAACAGTAAATTATGCATAATTACATGCAACTAACCCTCAACCAAACCCTAATCCTATAGCAAGTGCATGTGGTTAGTTAATATTACTCAGTAATTAAATGTGTAATTACATTGTAACTATGACACCTTAAAATCAAGTGTAACCCAATATTTGAAGCACTTAATTTGGAATGCTTGTTTTGATTTTCAACAAATACCATCAAAACTCTGCGCGCGTAATTATTTCTGGAGAAATGTTTGGGCTATTGTTGTGTTTTGCAGAGTTGTGGCATATCCGTGGAGTTCTGCAGTCATATAGTGAGGGCTTTCTCTGTCAGTACGAGGAGCTCGAGGGTGGAGCGGGCGGAGGAGGCGCTGGCACACATGGGCAGCTCTGTGAGTCATGTGTCCTACTGCTACACAAACTACATAATGAGTGCAACGAAGCACCTTCTAACATGCTGATCTGGATCCGCAGGTGTTTAGCGGCATCACCCTCACTAAATTTGGTGGGATCCTGATTCTCGCCCTGTCCAAGTCCCAGATCTTCCAGATTTTCTACTTCCGCATGTTTCTTGCAATAGTCCTGCTAGGAGCCACTCACGGCCTCATCTTCCTGCCGGTGTTACTCAGTTATGCAGGTAAATCACAACCTTTTAACATTCACAATTTGTCGTAAAGGAGTCGTTCACCCAATATTGACAACCCGTCAAAATAAAAGTTCTGTTTAACTTGTAGAAATACATTCCTCTGTACAATAGTAACAATATTAATAGTCACAAATTCTTCAAGTAGTAGTAATAATATTAATAATTATGATAATAAAATTATTAAAGCACAACTTTCATGTTTTAATTGTAACAGTAAACCTCTGTTTTGCAGCACTTTGTTTGTTTAAATCAAATGAAAATTTTACAATCCCTTTTATTTTTTGCCAATTTGATTAGTCTTTTAAAATGTAATGTTTTATACCTTGATTTGATTTCCACCATTTTTGAGAATACATTGGTATTAAATCATAAATGCAGAACAATTAAAACAAACTATTTCATTTCTGGAATAAAACATTTCTTAGTGCTATATTATAAGTGTTAAATTTTAAATCAAGTGTGTGTGTAACAAATTTAGGTGGGAAAGGGATTTTAAAACTGTCTTTTAATAATTTGTTAAATTGTAGAAGTTCCATGATTTTAAGTACACAAATTTTATGTAACCATTTAAACTGAATGGAGAAAAATTAAAAATAGCAGAATCCAGAACAAATAAAATGTTAGAAAATAAAAAAAAATAAAAAAATTCATAGGGCCCTAGATTTCTGAAGCCTTCTGAATAAAGGAATTAACATGAAAATGTATTTGTTTTGATGAAAGAAAATCTAAAAAGGTTCTTTCTTTTCACAGGCCCATCTGTAAATAAAGCAAAAGCAATGGCTGCTCGCAACAGGGTAGTGGGTTCAGAGAGAGAGCGGCTCATCTACTAGCGGCTCCGGGACTCTGCACGACAGCTTTACGTTTCCATGTTACACGCATAGCAACACACTTCGGCAGACTGAACTCAGGACTCTCCTCTGGGTGTACAGAAGCTTTCCCTTTCAACATCCACCAAATAAACCGAAACTGAAGGACAGATGTGGAAGATCCTTTCAGTATTGAGAGTCTGTATGTGGAAGAGACACCAGTCATTTCCCTAAATGTGTGTAAACATCCAAAGCAAGCTGTAACCACATGTAACGCTGCAGTCATTGTGGTAAACCAACCAAGAAACAAAGGAGACGAAAGTAACAAGAGGGCAACTTTTTTGTTTGTTTGTATAAATGTGTATAACTAACCATTTTTATTTATTTGTGTGAATTCATTTTCATTTTTTGTTAGCATATTTCATTTAATTACTGTCAAATTCACAAATAATGAAAGAACCGTCGACAATGAGCCACGATGGACAATCTCTTGATGTATTGTGATGCTATGACGAGAACATGTTACACTAGCGGCTAGCAGTACTCTGCTAGCGCTACCAGAACTGTGTGGTTTTCAGGCAGTAAAACTACTTTAGTCTTAGCTAATTTACTAAGTTGGGAAAATGGGTTGCAGTGGTACATAATAGACATTACTTGTATTTTTTTAAATGTTTACTTACAAAGTTCTGCGTTGTTAGCATTGACATGCTAAGAAAGGGAGTGCTAGCACACATGGGCACTTGTGGTGACTTGAGCCACTAGGCTAAACTGAGGTGTTATTTGACCAAAGCACAAGTGTACACTTTGACATCGCAGTTTGGTTTAAACTCGCGTTCCTCGGGATTTGCCTGCTTAATTCAGTTACTAACACGATGTAGCTTCAGAAAAGCTGCTAAACAGGTTTGGTACCTCATACATGTGGTTGGGGGAACACTATTGAATCAAAGTATGTCTGAAGCACAAATGTGTTGGCGTACTAATAAATGGTTATTTTTTTTATGAAGATAAGTTGGGATTGATGTGGACTGTGGGTAGGATGTGATGTTCCAATAAACATTTCCACTTATTGTAATTTATGAAAACTTATCCATAGTTTTTGTTTTTTTAAAAGATTGATTGTGTGCTTCATGAATGTAACTGTCTAAAGTGTGTGCTTTATGGGGAACAGTCCTTGATTTGAAGAATTTTTGAAAATAAAGTATATACTAATTTGTAATAAATTGAGATTGTTTAATTTGTTTGAGCTCGTGTCCACCCTTGTGAAAAAAAGTATGCTTTAGCATTTATGCTTTTGGATTATTGCAAAAAAACAAGCTCTGTGATCAACAAAAGTTTATGATACTTATAGGAATTTTGAAGCATAATGCAGTCGCCAGAAGTAAAAAGCTAAAGGTAGGCTATAAACGAACTACACCACAGTCGCTCGACTTCAATGTCACAATCATTAGCTTCCGAGCATAACTCACTAAAAACATTTTCCAACAATGTTTGAGGTAGAAAAGTTTATAAGAGCACAATTACAAGGCTGTAAAAGTGGACTCTGTTTACACGTTCAGCGTGATGACGTTTAATGTCCCCGACAGCCTCTGTAGTCCCATTTAGCCACTTGTTAGAAAGAGATATGTGATGCATATCAGCTTAAAAAAATCATAAGGGGTAATACGGGTGTGTTTTATGTCAGAATAAAACATGAAAGTGTCTTGAGCTTGTGTTCACCACAAACCCCATTGACTCGGGTGATGGAACCGGAATGCTAAAATGCTAAGTCGTTTTGGCCTACAAAGTGATGTCATACCTGCACTAACAATCACAACCTCCATTTCATGCTCACTTTACGTGCTGACATACAAGCATTTACTTTATTTTAAAAGTAGCCTATGTTTAAATGACATACAAGATTCAATTGAAAATACATTATAGTAACTTTAATTGTAATATCAAAAATCTCTAAAATAAGCACAAGTTAAACATGCCAAAACAATTATTTGAAATTATTTGCTAAGTCATATCTTGCAACCTACTCTTATTAAGCATACTTAAATGGCCTTTTATTTTTATTAATATCAGCAAGAGGCGTATAAGTAGCCTATACAATTTTACTTTTACAATTTGAAGTTCATGACAGTGTGCAAAACAATTAAGCGCACACTTTTTCACAAGAGTAACTTCACTAAGAAATATTGCTCATCTGTGATTTTTAAGGAATAAAAAAAAGGTTTCTGTGGGAAAATAGATGCAATGAACACCTTTAATACATTTTTGCACGTATGTTGATTACATTTCTTTCAGGTGTCAATTTGATTGGCAGGGGGCGTTTCTGGCCGTTTACTGCAGAGCTGCTTGATCGCTGACAAACAATAGAAGACATTGGCCAAACTTTATTTCCTACACTGAATTGCAGGTAAATATCCACCTCATTCAGCGCTGTTTTTGTTTTCTTTAAGTATCCCGTTACTATTTCTGTGTAAGAGAAAAGCTGTAACGATTCAGTGTGTGAGTGAACTGAATCAAACTGAATCATGAACCGTTTTCAAAAGCCGTTTGACCAAGAATGGTCGAATCTGGCATTGCTAGGTCTGAATCTAAACATCTGGTCAATTTCCAAAATATTATCAAGAAAAAATGATTGTCAGGTTCGGCACTATCAGACAAGGATTTATCAGCTATATTTGGGCAAACCTGTTGTTTTTATTTTAACCGTGCGGTGGCGCCATACTCTTTAGTATGCAAACGGAGACACAGGCCTGATGAATCAGTGTGCTTCACAATATCATACTGACTGACCTACTTCTCACGTCTGTGGATACATTACAAATGCATTTTTTAACATTTTGTATTGCTTTTATAATGTGTCACATCTTTTTTTTATAGTCAGTACGACCCCCCCTAGTTGTCTTCTTAACACTAAAATTACATCTGTTGTGGGCACAGTCCAAGAGACCATTAAATGGCTTTGGGAAAACAGAATTAGGCCTATGTTAAAACACAAGTATAATGATAATACTGATAAAAGAACATTATAACAGCTATGGCAGTGTCTGACCTGAGCCGACTGTCTCCTTAGAGTTGTTGTTATTCTAGCTGCCAATTCATCATTTATTAACATGTTTCTTTTTTGCCCCATGTGGTGGAGAGACAATGAAATATTGATTTCCTCTGGTTTAGGTTGGCAGTAAAGATAGGGTTCTTGTTTTTTATGTAAGCATTTTGGATTGTCATTTCTAAGACTCCCACTAGCCAACAAGTGAGGTGTTTAGCTTATGTTAAAGGGATAGTTCACCCAAAAATGAAAAATCTGTCATTACTCACCCTCAAGTAAGATATTTTGAAGAATATCGGTATTCAAACAGTTACGGTAGCCATTGACTTCAAAATATCTTCCTTTGTGTTCAGCAGAAGAAAGAAATTCATACAGGTTTGGAAGAACTTGAGGGTGAGTAAATGATGACAGAATTAAAAAAAAATTGGATGAACTATCCCTTTAACATCTATTGAAAAAAAAATGATATGAGGAATCTTACATCTGCCTCCCACTATATGACCTTGGCAATTTTTTTTACCTTACAGTTTCAAGCCAGCATTATTTTGATTTCCTTTGCTTTATTGCACTTTTTCCAATGATCAAATCAAATCAACTTTTATTTATATAGCACAATTAAAGCAACAGTAGTTGGCAAATTGTGCTGTTCAACAGGATAAATATGTATTTAAAAAAAAACAAGAAAGGCCGCAAAACAAATGATAAAGGGAGTTTATATCAAAAACACCAATCAGAAAATTCAACATTAAAAAAATGCCTGGAATTATGCTATGATTAAGATTTTTACAAAACCAACATTATCTTATTCTTCTGCAAAATATAAATGCAGTGTCACTGTGAATGTGGTTATTGGTGTTACATTATGCGTTAGAGAACAAAACTTACGCAATACGGCACCAGAGTAAACAACATTTTAAGTTTCAGTTCTGTCACAAAGGCCCTATAGTTTGAAACAAAGTCAAAATTTAAAACAATCTGAGTCATTCTTTTTTTTTTATAATAATAATAATAATAGTAATAATAATAAAGCATGAAAGCTGCAAATATTAAAGTCCATCTGTAGTCTGCATGGTGCTGTATGTCATTTTTTCACTCTACTAAAGCATAAAAATAGCATGTTTCCTAAATATCTGCAAACATTATGTTAAGTTCACATACTCGTTTCTCTAAAAAAAACACTTCTACAGCCAGTTATTTTACTTTGAAATGTGTGTTCCGTGTCGGAATGTCTGTTTTTGTTTTGATCTGTGTGATCTCGCCCACTACCAGTTCACCCAATAGAGCTTCGCCAGTTCACCCAATAGAGCTTCGCCACCACAGGTTGCCAGTTGGCAGGAAACACTGCGTATTGCAGCCAGCAAACAAACTGGGTCAGAGATTGCAGATTCCACACAACCTAAAAAGCCTCGGTATCCATCTAATAATCTCTATGAACGAGCATATTTAAAACGCGGATAAATCAACTTATTGTCAATTGCGCTCGTTCCTGTTGCATGTCCTCAAACTGGCAACCCGCGTGAGCGTCTAGTCTGAGGAAGAGGGGGCGGGGGAAACAACAATCTCCGATATTTTGAATTTTGACTGCAGTGCCGATTTCGACAACTAGCCTAGCTGTCATTCTTACAGACTGCACCTTTAAAACTCATCTTTGATCACCAAAATGACATATTTAAATGTTTTTTTTTCCTTGAAAAAAAAATGTCATCATGCCTTAAAAATAGCTTGAATTACACCCTTGCTTGATTTAGTATACACAGTTTTATGAATACACAAATTAGCCCCGCCTCCACTCACTAGCCTCACCAGCTCAAGAAATTCACTCGTTGACGATCACACGTTGACTTGATTGGTTACAAGTTTGTGATGTCAGAAACACCAGCGTCTTTACTTCACTGCAGTGTAAAGAGAAAATACTCAGCAATGGTGTTGACTTATGAATTTGCACATGGTTTGTCTTAAAGCATATTAAAAACACCACATAGACATAAAAATAACATTAAAAATCATTAACCTTCCCAATATAGAATAAAAATGCCAACAATATTACCCACAATTATTAGGTTTAACACTTTAAAAAAAACAGCATTATTTATTTGTACTTGCTTTTATCTCTATTTTTAACCAGTAATTAAGCATGCGTGTCCTTTTCCA